TCAGTCTTGACTAAATTAATAATTGCAACTAATTATCTATACTACTTTTAAAAATAATAAATATTAAGCGGCAATAACTAATACGAATTTTAGAATCACATGAGATAACAAAGCATTAACATTTAAATGTTATACTTTTTATGTTTAAAAAAAACAAACGAGGGGATTCAATTACTTCATCATGTAGAAATTTATGATGTTCATATTTTTATTTTATACAAAATTATATTTTATTACATATATATATCTTCTTCTTCTTCACTGGCGCAACAGCTTCATGGTAGGCCAAGACCGTCTGCTTACTGATAAATTTCAACAGAGGAGAGGTTTCCTTTTTATGAGGCAGACTGATAACCCTATGCCCAATTCTGTACTATCATATTAGATTGTTGGCACCTACGGTTTAAAGTGGATTCCGAAACACCCATGGCCCAAACACCAAACACTCATGGCGAACCCGAAACCTGTGGTACAGAGATCTAGTCACTCGGCCATCTCATATTTAATATATAAATGCTTTTAAAGATATTATTACTGAACTGTTTTGAATACAGATAGGTTGATTGGCACATGCATTAATTATGACAATAGAATAAGTGCTTCATTATGAAATCACTAAAATAAAATGAATTTAAATATCTGAATTTCAACTATCTCTTCATTTAAGCGACCCAACAAACTTCGAAAAATCCACTTCTTAAATCTGCTCTTACTGAATATTTTCCAGATGTGCACGCTCACAATAAGACGCACAATGACAATAAATAATTCCGAAATGGGAAGTTTATTTAGTTTCGCAGTGTGCGAGGAATTGTACAGAAGAATTTGCGTAGCCAAATTGGATGGGGAGAATACGAATGAACATTTTGCGACGAGCTCTCGTCTAGACATTGGCGACGTTTTCCTTCTGTCTCGGTGTTCTTCACGCAGTTTGTGAAGAGTTCGATTATTTGCGGACGGTCATAGTTGAATGGATATCCTTGAGACTGTTTGTCTTTTTAATTCGTAATTTCAACCACCCATATTCGTAATCTTTTTGAAGTATTCGTTGCTTCTTTTAAATATTGTAGGATGTGGTCACAAGTATTGTGGTGGACTTTTAGAGAAAATATAGTTTGGAATTTGGGGATCATTGCATCTTTTGAGTTAGAATTATCATTTCTGAAAGACTCAAACTTGATTAAATTAAAAATTGCAAATAATTATCATATACAACCATAAAGAATAGTTAATATATAATGGCAATAACTAAAAGTATTTTAGAATCACTCGAGATAACAAAAAATTAACATCTAGGCGTTCAGCATTTTATATTTTAAAAAATACAGGCATACAAATATCTTGCTTCATATAATTAAAAAAAATATTCTATTTTGTTATAGCATTTTAGATGAAGGAAATCAAACAAATAATAAATTATTTTGCTTATTTATTCAATGGTATTTCTGCATAAATATTAATTTCAATAAAAATATTAATCTTGAATGATTACGATTAAAAATAATAATATAATTACTTATCAAATTTTAAGCCATGAAATACAAAACTTTACCTTATAACATGATATTTAAAAAAGTATTTTTTTCTCATTTGCTGTATTATATTCTCGGAAAAGAAAACAAATATTTTCATTGCACGGTTATTTTGTGGGACCTGATAGCCGAGTGATTAGTTCTCTGGTGCTCGGTACCACGGGGTTCGAGTCCCGGTGGTGTCATGGACCTACCCCCTAAAAGCAAAACATCTCCTGTCCCGAAATCTGCCAGTAGATAGACGGCCTTGGCCCACCAGGGGGCTATTTTGTAGAAAAATTATTGTTTTAAAATATAAATGATTTAGACAACATATTTGCATTTGTAAAATAAATTTTCAATACGAATTGAATTTATTTTTCTTTAACAAAGTATCGTCTTTATTTATTTCACTTTCTATGCTAAGAGTGAAAGGCATTGGTGTTAAAAACTTCAGCATGCATTTGAGAGTTGCAATAGAAACCATTGCGAAATTAATAGTAATAATAATAATATTTAGATACGCCAAAAATGCCAACATTAACTAGCTAAATAATTTAATCAAATGTTTTTAAATAATATTCTACGGAAGGGGAATGCAACTCAACAATTTTCATAAGCTAATATCAACTGTTACAATGAAAATTATGTTGTGGGGAAAAATTCCAAATTCATTAATGATCAATAGATAGCTTGTTTATGAGACATCTGTAATATTTTACAACAATTATTTATTATCTAGAATGTTTATTGTTTTATTAGGGTTATTTATAATTAAGGTTATTTATTTGCAATTACATTATATATACATATAAAATTACTAATACCAATCATTTAATGCAAAAAAATAGATGACTTTTGATACGTGAACAGAAGGAAAATATTTACCAAATTTAAATGTTTTGTTCAAACCATATATAAACAATTAGTGAAAACTTTCTCTTTGTTTCTACGTATAAAACAATTAGGAAAAGTATATTTAATTAACAATTAGTTAAAGATATTTCAAAAGCGGGGTAAACACATGTCTTAATTGCTGATTAGAACGTAAAACGCTAATCATAGCTTATTAGCATTTAACACAAAGTTCAATATAATTTCATAGTTCAATTACTATTTCTAATTAACTTTTAAAATTTGTATTAATTTAATTTAATATGTTAAATTTATTAAACTACTGTAAAAATTTTAAAAAATAATTTTGAATATAATTTGATGTCAGGAAAGCCTTTCAATTAGTTTATTATAAGTTCATCGCGTTTTCGCTAACTGATAGCAATTAATCCTTGTATTAATTAAAAATTAAAAACAAAGATTTCAAAAATATTTGAAATTCTCTTCTTTATTTATTTAATTTTGATAACAGAAATTAATTTTACTGTAAAATAAGTTTTGCGTAAAAGCCAATTTACTAGATTAATTTATCTTTAAAATTCCATTTGATAAAATTTAACCTATTACATTTATTACTTTTATAATTGCTTTTCGCATATTTTCTGGCGCTCGGTGCCACAGGTTTCCTGCACGAGTCCCGGTGATGCCATGGGTGTTTGTAGGGGTTCAGAATTCACTTTAAACCGTAATTCACTGTCTAATATGGCTACTACTACATCACACCACACCACACCACATCATTGTACCTAGAGCTGAGTTGCCCCTTTTACACTTTGGGAATGATGCGAGTGAGAAGAAGTCTGATTGGGCTCTGTGGCAGCTTAGGTGGATTCCAAACCACTACAAAGATCCATGGCACCGCCGGGATTCGAACCCAATATCTGTGGTACCGAGTGCAAGAGCGATAGCCACTCGACCATCAGGCCCCTTAGCTGTTGGGCGTAGGGCTAACCACCCTAACCCGTAAAAAGAAAAAAAAACATCTCTCGTCTCGTAATCTGATAGTAGGCAGACGGCCTTGGCCCACAGTGGGACTGTTCAGCCAATGAAGCTGATGATGATTTTTGCATATTTGGAAAATAAAATAAAATTCTGTACCACAAAAACATAAAATTAATTGATTAAAAAAGGATTAATAAAATAATTTAAATTATACTTTTTAGAATATTTGTTGAAATTAAAAAAAGTTGCATATATATTGTTTGTACACTGATTCTATTTAAATGTTTCGATTATGTCAGAGATTTTATTAAGTTATTTTATCATTAGTTCGAAATGAAACATCAAATAAAAGTTTTTTTTTTATTTTATTTTGAATTATCAAAAATGTTCTATGTATTTAAATATAAAGCATTTCATCAAAACACAATAAAAACCATTCTATAATGCATATTAAAAATCACATTTATTTTATTTCAAATTTAACTTTTCTATAATAAAAAAACGCGTTACTTTAATAGAGTACGTGTTACGAAAGTGGCTCTTGTACTTAAGTACAAAAATTTGGTATCACACTGTACTCAAAAATCTTTCTTCAGATACTCTTACGAATTCTGACATCTCACATTATCCATCCATCTTAATATTTGTGGAAAGGATAAGAGAAATAAAAAAAATGGAAACTTAACGTGGCTTTTGGAGGAAATAATGTCTAGCTTCCGAAGAGGAAATTCTATTGATACCCATTTTATTTTAAAATAAGACTCGAGGCTTATTTTCCTTTTAAATGGATCCGAAACAACTCATCTTCCGTAAAATCGATACGGAAGTTACACTTGTTGGGAACTTAAAAGTAAACGGAGAATGCTTCGTGAACCGTCTCGAAGATTAAAAATTTTGATTTATCATTTTGCTTTATTCTTTCTGACTTGGCTTTTAAATGTTATGCTTGATATTTTTATTTTTTCATGTAATGTAAATTTTCTCAAAATAACGTAGGAATTTTTTATTAAATCTGTTGTCTTTTTTTGTTTTTAAAAAGGAGTTCTTAATTTTTTGGCTACATTCGGTTTCATACATCGAAGTGAAAATCAGGTTTAGTATCCGTTTCTCCGTTAAAATGTATGTAGATTTACACCGGTTCCAATAGATTCATTCCAGTCGAACGTACAGTTTTGTTAGACTTCTCTACCAGTCCTTTAACAATGGCTGTACTTTTGCAGTGGGTGTCTAGGGGATTTGACACAGTACCGGGACGTCACTTTAAATAAAGCCATTTAATGACATATTTTACAATGATATTTGCATTGACAATTAATTAAAGGGGTGAACATATTCTCTCGCTGCTTGACGCAGCCTGCCCCAATCGCTCCTGCCAGCGTTCTCTTTCGCGCCCATCTGCGGGGCTTCTTTCTTCATCCACGGGGACCTGTCCCCCTCTCGTGGGGTCAGAGTACAAAGTTGAATACTCCGCCTGTTGTAAACAGGCTCTGTCAAAGACAAGCAACCGTGAAGTGTCGCCGCCTGCTGATTACCACACAACCAAATCCTACATGTATGGACTATTTGTTTCTACGGATTTATTAAATGAATTTCTTCATCCATTTCTTGGATATTAAATAATAAGATATTTCGAAATACATTCAGATAAATTCATTCGGCCGTACCATGCTGAATATACCGGTTCTCGTTAGATCACCGAAGTCAAGCATCATTGGGCGCGGTCAGTACTTGGGTGGGTGACCACCTGGGAACACTGCGTGCCGTTGGCAAATTTGGGACCTGAATGGCCGAGTGTCTAGCGCTCTGGCGCTCGGTGCCACAGGTTTCGGGTTCGAATCCCGGCGGTGCCATGGATGTTTGAAGTGGTTCGGAATCCACTTTAAGCCGAAGGTCCCGGTCTCCTATGACTGTAAGAGCGTCACGGAGCCAAAGTCAGGCTTCTACCTACGGGTGCTCCATCACAACAGAAGCTGCTTCCTTCCCCTTCAATCATGAGTACGTATGGGCTCGTGGGCTTGGCCAGCCAAGTGGGATAAGAAACAACAACAACAACAACATAACTTCACGAGAGAGACACAAAAACGGCAACGACCACAGCACAACAAAAGTTGATTCAATACACCATGATTGATGGTGTATTGAATTTACATTTATTTCATGGATGGCAAATCTATTCCAAATTTACAATGTTCTCAAATTAATAGATTTCCAAAGCAGTACTTTCCAGTTTGTTAAATCCCAACTTTATTTGACGCGATGAAAACTTGCAATACAACAATTTGCACTATACTATACAATCTGCCAATCAAGACCTGGTTTTTTTTCTCCCATACTTTAACTTGTTCTTTTTTATCTTTGGAATTTATATAAAAATCTGTAATTTTGTTTTTGTTGTCGTACAATTAATAATAACATTAATTATGTTGATAAAACGTTATTTAGTTTATAGGTAATTATCGTAAATCATAATTGTTTTAAATTGCTACTATTTACATGAAATTCTCACAAAAATTAATTTTCCATTGATAATAAATAATTAAAATAATTTTAAATTAAATTATATCTATTTAATTTGTTTTTTTAAATAAAATTAATTCGTTTAAAAGTTATAAAATACTAATAATACATTTCTCTCTTTCAGTTGCACAATTAATAAATTATAAAAATAATTACAAAAATTTTGAGAAATTAAAGTACACCAAAATTTTTTTAAATACTCCAATAATTAATTAAATTGAATTTATTTTAATTTTTAACAAAAGTGTTTAAAATCTAAACATTTGAAAAGAAGGTTTATAAACGGACATTTTCAATTTCGAAGTTTAAATACGAGATTAATTCTTTACAAAACATTTTTCCGCAAAATGTATTAACAAACATATGTAAAAAAAAAAAATTCTCTCGGATATTTACTAAACTTCTGAATGTACCTATATATATATATGGAAATAAATAAAAAAGAATAAAAGTAAATAAAAGTGAGCCACAAGAGGACGCAGGTGTTTTTCAGCTCAGCTTTTCGATGCGTTAAACTTGGAATTTTTCACGAGCTTCCTCTCTTGCTAAATACAAAAGAAAAAAAAATGTCTCGACGTTTTTATATAAAAAAACACACATATTTGTCTAAAATAATTTTTTGTGCGTCTTGTTTTCATGTTGAGTTCTATAAATCAGTAAAATATATTAATAAATACAAGAACATGTGGCCCAAGTAAATTTGGCTTAGAGAAATTCGCCTTATGTGAGAAAACAAGCTTGGTTTTTTTTTTAAACTTCTGGTTGGCATAATTCATTTAAGGTCTTCTCTTTCGAGGTTTTTCGATTCAATCAAGTAACTTCTTGGTATAGTGTATAAGAAAAATAAATAAATATATAAAATCTAATTTTATTGTTTATTTTAGGATGAGTCTGACGAAAATGTAATTCCATGCACAGCAAAATATGCGAGATTTTTATTAGTAATAATATTAAATAAATTAAAGACCGTTAACTAAGATTATACAATAGCAATAAACTTAAAAATTAACGCGTGTAATATTTTAAATATATGTAATTGGAAATTCACAAATTTTAAATTTTTGTAATTACGCATTTAAAATATTTCATTTGGTTATAAAAATAAACTAAGTAATTAAAACGAAATTTCATTATTTTGTTTAGATTCAAACCTAGTAGGAGGATTTGAAAATTCATCACAAAATTTTAAAAAATGATAATTCGAAAATTAATAACTATAAAAAAGATACAGTTAACATGTAAATAAAATGGGAGTTTTTCAAGTAATAAACAATTAACTCAACAATAGTTCATTTTTTTATCAACAAATGACGCTGTCAAAATACATACTAGTTGTCTGAAGTAGTGTAAAAAGCCTTTGGCGACGTTGTTCTTGGAATAGATGTTGTTACTTTTTTCCCTATAAGCGACTTCTGTACAGGGAGAAAGCAGTTTTTGAAATATTTTACAGTACATTGGTACTTTATATTGCATTGCATTTAAATCAATTCAGTGATATTTATACAAATGGCCACATATCTAATAACGGAAACAACAACAACATGCGTAAAGAATCTCGCATCAATAATCAGATTGCTCGTTTGGATTTTCTAGTTTTTCACTTACACAACATGCAAATGCTTGGTAGCTACCCTTAAAAGTCTTCCCAAAAAGCGATATCTTCTCTACATTGTCCGTCGCTGGGTTGTTTATGACATGCTTAAAGACCCACCGATGCTCAATAAAATAATAATAAGTACGGGTTATATATGCCTTAAATATACTTTAATATTGGCTAGTAGTATTTTTTTTTATACATACATTACTTTAGGAAGGTACAGTAATATTATAACTGGGCCTGATGGCCGAGTGACTAGCGATCTGGAGCCCGTTACCACAGGTTTCAGGTTCGAGTCTCGGCTGTGCCATGGATGCTTGTAATGGTTCGGAATCCTCATAAAACCGTAAGTCCCGGTCTAATATCACTGTAGAGTGACTGACAGCTCAAACTCCTCAAAAGAAACCATCTCATGTCTCGAAATCTGCCAGTAGGCAGACGGCCTTGGTCCACTATGTAGTTAATGCCATTCTACTGAAAAAATATTAGTATATCAGCTGCTTGAAAATTAATTAAAATTTTAAAAATGATGCCTTCAATACTAATTTCGAACATATATATATATATATATTTCATTTTAGAATCAACAATCAACTATTACAGGTTTCATAAAGAAAAGACTTTTTCATCTTAAATTTTACAGAGAATAAATTTTCCCTTTATTGGTTTCTACAATCTGCATTTCTTGTGAAAAAAACCATAATTCCATAATTCCTAATTTTTTTTTTCCAATATCAAGTTTGCAAAGACAGATATTTGGAGTGTTTCGGTAAGACATCAGAGAAACGAACTAAATTTCGATCAAATTTGATTGTTATTGGGTAGGAACATGCGTTTGTTTTCCTTAACTATGCTCTCCATTCAAACACGAGATTTCATAAGAAAATGGTATTCGTTATAAATTGAAGAGCAGACGTTGCAATGATCTTTTTATATTAAATCTGAAAGAAAACAATCAACGAGTGTTCGAATTGCTTTCCTCTATTAAATATTGCTTTCGGTGGAAGCGTATTATTTTTAGATTTGATGTTAAATTTCCTTTAAATTCATGCTAAAATGCTTTCCTTAAATCTTTAACTAGTAGTTTTATTTGATTTTAAATTATAGCCTTAAAAACATATTTTAAAGTTTCGATTTAAGTTCACAAATAAAGTAGTTTTTTATGAATTAAATGTAATGTACTGTACTAATAGCGAATAAATTTGTTTTTTCTTTTTATATTTTAAATATTATTAAAATTTTATAAACATTTAACAAATAATATATTTATAATATTTACATTTATTATAAATATTTTTAAAATTTTCAGTTAAATTTCGTTGAAGAAAATTGTATTATATAAGAAGGTTTTTGTTCATCCTCTCAAATTCAAATACATTTTATTAAACTTGTAGTGAATGACAATTGATGTTAATACAGTATTTCAAATATTAATTCATTAATTAAATTTAATTAGTTAATTTTAGTTTTTTTTAGATTTAAGTTGCGCAGAACGTTCTGCAATATAGTGAAAAAAAGTAGGAATTGACTTAATTTTTTTTTTATATTACTTGTTTTTATAAGAATATTGAACATTTTTAAAATAGATAAATTTACATAAATAATACGAAAAATACATAAATTTCTTTTATGTCATAGTGTTATTATAAATAGTGAAGAATAGTATTATATACTTTAAAAATGATTTCAATATACATATATAGTATTATATTAAAATCGCTATTTTTATAATTTCAGGTCAATTCACATTTAATAACAATTTTGAAAAACTAAATACTTATTAAAAGTACTTTATGATATAGTGCATTTAAATTTACATTTAATAAATTAAGTGTTAAACATGAAATTATTAATTTTATAGATTTATTTTTAAATTACTTTAATTATAACTTATTACAATTTTTGTTTTTAAAGTAGCGTATTTAAATTGCAATTTTGATGTAGTTCATTTAAATTGTAATTTTTAATGTAGTGCATTTAAATTGTAATTTTTAATATAGCGTATTTCAATTGTTATTTTTAATGTAGTGTATTAAATACTAATTAATTTTCATAAGAGTTTAGAATAATTTGATTATTTTTAACTATGCTCTAGAAAAATGAAACTTTTTTTCCAACCGTTATTATGAGAAATAACTTTTTTTTTTTAATTTTAATTTTTATTTTAACTTTTATTTACAGAATGCCAATTTTAAATGCTATTTCGCTTAAATGAACATCGCAATAAAAACAATTTACAGGCATAATACATTAATTTGTAAATACTAAACATTAACGAAGAATCTGCATTTTGTTTTCCTTGAACATGAAAATGTAATAATGTTATTACTTTACAGAAAACGATTAAAATACAAAAATTACAGCACCACACACAAAAAAAAATTCTTATCAAAAAATGTACTTGAAGCAAAAGCATAAACTATATTAAATCTAATTAAAAAAAAAAAAACCTCACATAATTAATATTTCTAGAGTTTTATTTTGGAAATTTTAATAAAGTTAGAATGAAAAAGGCTATAAAAACATCTATTGGGAGAGTTAGTGCCATCCCAGACCTTTTTTGCCCTCTAAATAAATAGTTGCTGATGTCCATTCAGAAAACATCAGCTTCTAAGGGTCAGGAGATAAAATAAGGTCTGTCACAACTAGGC